CCCTCAGTGTATCTCCCGCATTTGTGTGGCTGCATTCACAGCCAACAAGCAATGTCAAAATGACAACTGATTGTCATCGCAGCCTCGACACAGCAGTGCGCCGCGCCATCTGTTCCACTATAAGTGTAAGTAGCGGTTCCTTGAGAAAATTCACGCCGACTTCCACTCTCCAAAAGTGCTCGCCGAAGAGCAAGTCGCAGTCCTTCGGCTGACCTGCGCAGCTAAAGCTTCATTCGCTAGCTGTGAGGCAGAATTTTGCTATTCTTTTGTTGCTTTTGCTAATGCCACCGCCACCGCCGCCACCGACGCTGCTAATCAAATTTCAAACAAATTATGTTGCTGCCACTGAACTACAGCGACGTTTGCATACACTGCGTGAGTGTGGGTGTGGGTGTTGTCGAATGCTTCGCCGGATGCTGAGTCGGTTGCCACAGGCGATGACGGTAGCGGCGGCGGCGGTGGCGGCGACGTGCCAGCCGTGAGCCATGGCAGCGGAGATTGCATTGCTATGTAGGTATGCATTTTAGGAAAACCTGCTGCTTTTGCCAGCCTGCCTTTTTGGTGCTCGCCCGAAAGTATGCCAGTACTTTTGATTGCCTGCAATTTGAGGTGCAAATGCGAAGCGGAAATAGACGAATGACAGCGTCGCCGGCACTGCAAGCGAAATGTAATGCATGCGGAAATGACTGGCGATAACAAACATGAAAAGATGTGTGAAAGCAAAATATAATAAACTATAAAAATAACTGCTCTTCTAAACTAAAATTGAAAATGGCATTGTTTCGCATAAATGGCTGGAGAAAAAAGGCTTTGAAAGAAAATTCAAGCAGGTCAGCAATACACACTGACATGTGCTGAGTAGTGGCCGTAATTTTCTGCTAGAATTTATTGCTTTCTTTTTGTACTTTTTTTGCCTCCACACACAATGGGCAGCAGACCAACTTACAAACCAGACGACCAACCTCACTTTTGCCCAATAGGGTTAAGTTGTTACCCAGTCGCCCGCCTTCCTCTCACTCAACTCCCTTCATGGCCAATCTGACCAAGTTTTTCATGTTTAATTTTAGCCTCAAGAGCTCATAAAAGCGCAACTTATGTACAAAGGCATGCTTGTGAGGCACAACAAGCCAAAATGTTGCTGGCTAGGGTTCCAGCATACATACAGTGAGACGAAAGTGACAAAGATTTTGAGAGCAAAAATATTAAAGTAAACAGCTTTTCAGTTGCGAAAGACTGAGAAAGAATTTCGGCATAGTAAGAGCTCTCACTACTAGCGCCTAAAACTATGCAGAATTTGACGTATAAACAGCTGCAACTTTCATTTATTATTTCATTTAACTATCCGCTTGTACTTCTCAAACGGCTTATGTAACTGAATAACTAAGTGAAGTCTTGGCTCTTGATGAAAAAAGGAATAGCAAATGATTTCATACACCTCCCTATTTAGCACCGTATTCACTTTCCATACTCTCAAATTTCAGCCTTTTCTCTATCGGAGGGCTAATGAAAGACGGAAATTTCGACAGAATCGATTGAAAAATGTTGTCTTTTAAGGTAAAATCATCATATGAGACTTATGTCAAAAGTCATCTGAGGCGACTTCATATTGGATTTTCGCTATGGACGAACTGAATGGCAACATGAATAATAATTGAAGTCACTTTTAAGAGCTGAATTAATGCGGTATTATTAAATGAATTTTCTAAAGAGCCTTGTTGCATTGTGTTCTGTTACGGCCCATTAGCAATCTCAATATCATTGTTGACAACTGTTAAAAAAGTGCAAAGAAGAGTATTCGGTTCACGAAGGACTTCAAATCTGTTTTGGTTACTAGCTCATTAAAAAATCCTTTGATAATTAAGTTTAGTGCTGATCTCTGCTTTCGGACGAAAGTCAAGAGTGTCAAATGAGTTCGATAGTTCGATGAACAAGCAAAAATTAAGCTTAGGCCGAGCGGACTGCCTTAAAAAACACTTTCGCAGGACAACCAGTCGTGAAAATCAGGCATTCCCAATCTTATTATTATGTGTCTTTAAACAAAGTAAACCTCTTGGCGAATACAGGTTATCTCACCTGACATTGGTCTAAGGCAAACCAAGTCTTCAACAAAGTGGTTCAATCGAATTTCGAAGCATATTTTGTGAAATACGCAGTTGTCGAACAGCTTTGGCACCTCATCTAGTGCGAGTGCCAATATTAGGCTAGAATTTGTTGTCTTTCTAGTCTACATATTTCGCAGCGAGTTCTGGCGATGTCGAAAGCCTCATATTTCCTTCCGTAAGTCCCGTAACGAAATGTTTACTACTTCCTCTTTTAGTGAGACTCTAATTCGTCTCTAAAATGCATGCAGAAAATGTAGGAATCTGTGTCAAACCTGAACGAGCTTCAAGTTACGAGTACATAGCCGTTATCGACCCAAGAAGCTTGAAATGGGTACACAAAGCTGAGCTTCTAGCGTTTAAGGGCCAAAAGCTAAAACTCTTCGAATTCCCATCCCGAACACACAACCAAAGATCTCAAGCAAAAGATCCACAAATTGACAGAGCCAGAAGTTATTTCTGAGTGGCCTCGAAAAAAAAATTCGTTTATCCTGTACGAGAACACTGTCTCACTCTACTTCCAATCCATCTGTCCTACAAGCTGAAGCAAAAATCGGTAAAGTTGTGGGGACACTTCAAGTGGCCATTGCTTACGCAAGAAGAGCCAGGAGAAACCAAGCAACCCACCACCACGCTGGCCAAAAGGCAGTGGCATTTAGCCGGAGGTAAAGGCTGGCGGTTGGTGGCTGGCTGGTGGCTCGCGACTCACGGCTTACGGTCATGTTATGGCAATTATGGCTGTCGTCGCTGGAAAATGTGTTCGTTGTGCGCCTTTTAGTGGTTGTTGTTGTCGCGGATGTCGCGGATGTGGTGCTTGTTGCTGAAGCTCTTATTTGCTTACGTGTTTTTTCCGTCATTTTTTTATTTTATTTTTTTTTTCAGCATCCCTCTGCTGAGTTTATTTATAGTTTTTTCTTTGTTATTATTTAATTTGCTGCTGTTGTTGTGGTCGTGTAAGCAGGAACCTGTTAAATGCTGTCGTTGTTGACACAATAACACAACGGTCGCTTATTCGGCTTCCCATTGCAGGCTACTAGGGGGGAAGGAAGAAGTTTGAGTTCATACCAAAAAGCTTCGCTAAAGCATGAAAATCGCCGCGTTCGTAGAGGAAGCGGGCGACTGGCGCACTTTAGGCGCATCACTCATTCCTTGCAACTGCCTCCATCTCTTCTTCTGCTGGCCGACTGCCCTACCCTGCGCGCACGGGCTTATTGTGTCACATCCACACTCCTATTTTTCTTATTTTCTTTTCCTTCTTTTACGAGTAATTTCTTGCTGCTTGGCATGCTGATGATGAGTTGCTTTTGGCCTGTTTTGTGCACTAAATATTTACTCGCTTTTGAATTGCCTGCATGCCTGAGCGAATGTAGTAGCACAATTTGCATGTTTCAGCGTGTGACTCTATTTGCCCATGTGTGTGCGTGTGTGTGTGTGTGTGTGTGTTGTTTGTTCGCGACAACTGCATATGGCTCGGCTCCTTGTTTGTGTCACTTCATCCTGCCAACCAACCAAACAGCCAGCCATTGTGCCCAGCAGCCTAGGCACACTTACTCTTAATAGTGCTTCCTGTTTTTGTTTCTATTCTATTTAAGTATTTATCCATTTATTTGCTCATTTCTTCTACTTTTTTCGCACTCCTGACTGCTGTGCGACTCACTTTCGCATTTCTCATTTTCTTTATGTTTGAGCAAGCCATTTCTCATATTTGTTTTATTGTCTTGAGTGTTGGCATTATGTCGTTGGCAGGCAACCAAATGTTGGTCAAATGCTCTGCTACGCTGTGTTGTGCTGTTCTGTGAGAGTGCTAAAGTGCACACATATTTGATCTTTAAAAAGCTATCTTTCTTCCAAGACAGCAAAAAATGGAGTGCATAGTAGGATTGCAATTTTGTTAAGGTAAAAAAAAATAATAATTTACAAGCAGTTCATTTCATAAAAAATTTATTAATGAAGCCAACGTGTGAGCACATTGTTATTAGGCGCAGAATTTCAAGCCTGAACTACATCACGGCTAACTATTTGCTATGGACTTTCGAAGCTACTGGTTCCCTAAGCTCATTTGTATTTTGATTTGCATTTTCNGATAGGGATTTCGTAATTTTTCTGTAATTAATTGTATACATACAGCACATGTACATACGTACATATTTATATATGTATGAAAATAAGTAAATTTTTCCACCACTTTGATTGAGTTGCTGGTGCGTGTGCGCGATTAATAAGCTATAAAAGCGTGTGGAAAATTAATTTCGGGTTTCAGTTGGCGCTGTGTGTGGCATGAGAAAAATAAGACTGGTGGCTAGAGGAATTTTTTAAATTAATTTCGGTTTGTTTTTAAGAAAGTGTAGAGATTAAGTAAATTTGTATTATTTTTTTTATATCAAAATAAAATTTTTAAAACCGTTAAATTGCTAAAATTAATTTATAAAAAGTGCATACCTTAAATTTTTGTAAAAAATTTCGTAACAACTGCAATAAAAAATTTCGAAGGAGTGGCCTTCAAAAGGCTGAAAAACGATGGCATCGGTTTATTTGTTTCTGAAGTTGTTGTTCCTATTGGAAATTTTAAGCGCAGCTGCAGCTTGTAAGTATTTTTTTAGTGCAGCAAAAAGAAATATTTATAAAAAATATTTTTATTATTTTCGTTTCAAGAAAGTTTAAATAAATCTATATTTTTTTTCAAACCGACGAAAGAGAAAGTTTTGTACTTTTCGGTGAATTTCTGTGAAAATATTTGCGGCAAGCAGCAGCTTAAACTGTTACCTTGTTAAATTTTAAATTTTTGGGCGTACTGTTTGATAACATAAGAACTTACATAAATAAGAATTTAAAACATTAAAAAAAAATGCGAGCTGGAAATAAATTTGGTTATTAGAAAACTGCATTTGGCCTTTATAAAAACGAACTAAAATTTTTCGCCAAATAAAAATTGGGCATACATTTTTGGCCAGACATGCAATTTTCATAACTAAAAAATGGACATCAGATTTTGGTAATTTTAAAATATACATACATTTTTGGTCGTAAAAAATTAGAAAGGAGGTTTTTTGATAATGTAAAAATTTTACCAAAAGCCTTTGTCAATAAAAACTGCACATAGATTTTTGGTGATTTAAAAAGAGTACTTCAACTTTTGGTAATTTAATAACGCTGTACGGAAAATGTCAAGTTTTGAAATTACGAAACAAAAAACGCCCAAGCTCGTAAACTTAATGTTGGGTCGTAGATTATGTATCTGCCTACTGTTTTTCCAGACCCTTTTCCTAGATATTTTTATGACAGAAGGAACTGTAATTTACAAAAAAATAACAAATCTTATGTCCCTTTTTTATTTATATTAGAGCTTCGCCGTTTGCAAAAAAGTCATTGAAGTTGAAATTCGATATGCAATAATTTTTTTATGAAATGGGATCAGGAAATAATGTTTCTCATACGCCATATCGTACATGGCCCTGCTCGCTCATACTCGTACATGGCGTATGAGTAACATTTTCCATGTTAAAGTTGGATTTTTTTTTCAAACTTAAAATAAAAATATCTTGGAGAGACGATCTGATCTAGAAAACTGGTTTGCAGATCCGTAATCTATGACCCAAAATTAAGTTTCAAGTCTCGGAGTTTTTTGTGTCATTCTAGCGTCCCTACAGTGTAATTAGAAAAAAAATTAAAAAAAGGGTGAATATTTATTTTTGGATATAATTTTTAAAAACTTTAGATGTGCATATAAATTTTTTATAACTTAAAAAACTCAACACCCACTTTTGGTGAGTAAAAACGCTGGCCAAAAATTCATTAGTCATTTAAAAAATGGATACATACTTTTAGTAATTAAAAAATTTTTCATAAAATTTCGGTTAATAGACAACTTACATGAATATATACATACATACATATATAAATGAAAATATCTTTCAATAATGTTCTGTTTTAACAAAAATAATTTTGTCCCCCACCACAGCACCAACAGCTTGCAGTTACACATCTCTCACGGGCGCATCGCAAGCAGTGTCCTATGACGCCGCCACTGATAAGAGCGTAGAATATGTGGATTATGGCACCAACACGAATGGCATTTGCGTACAACGAGCGCGTTGTAGTAAAGAATTTGTGACGCAAGTTATAAAGTGAGTGGAAAATGAAATTCAAAATTGATAACGCTCAAAAATATTTATATTGATTTTTTCGTTATTGCCACAGATGCAGTGACCTGCGTATAACCTGTGAGAATCGGAAATTATTTGAAGGCGAATTTCCAGCTTGCTGTGTGAAATGCTGAGGAGATTTAATTCAGAAAAAAACAGGATTGTCAGTATAATAAAACGAAAGAAAAAGCAATCACTTTGAACTGCCTAAACTTGAATTTTGCGAGAAATAAATTGAAGAGATTTACGAGGGAGAGATGGAGCCGTTTTGGATTATTTGTTTGATGTGATACTACCCAGTCAACTGGTATGACGTTACTAGTATTTCTGCTGGTTATTTGTTGAGTCTCAGAGGTGGTCCCATACTAATCTGGTTAAGATCCGATCAGTGGATCATGAGATATACATATATATATATATATATATATATATATATATNATGACCGATACTGTATATATATATATTTTTTTATATGAGAATTGAAGTCGGTTTTTTTTTGCTAAAAATTACTTGTGATTATTAACGATATATCTCACACCTTACGAATACAAATACAGATAAACTTAGTGCTTTTATATTTTCCCTCAGTGTATCTCCCGCATTTGTGTGGCTGCATTCACAGCCAACAAGGAATGTCAAAATGACAACTGATTGTCATCGCAGCCTCGACACAGCAGTGCGCCGCGCCATCTGTTCCACTATAAGTGTAAGTAGCTGTTCCTTGAGAAAATTCACGCCGACTTCCACTCTCCAAAAGTGCTCGCCGAAGAGCAAATCGCAGTCCTTCGGCTGACCTGCGCAGCTAAAGCTTCATTCGCTAGCTGTGAGGCGGCATTTTGCTGTTCTTATTGTTGCTTTTGCTAATGCCACCGCCGCCGCCGCCGCGGCCGCCGCCACCGACGCTGCTAATCAAATTTCAAACAAATTATGTTGCTGCCACTGAACTACAGCGACGTTTGCATACACTGCGTGAGTGTGGGTGTGGGTGTTGTCGAATGCTTCGCCGGATGCTGAGTCGGTTGCCACAGGCGATGACGGTAGCGGCGGCGGCAGTGGCGGCGTCGTGCCAGCCTAGAGCCATGGCAGCGGAGATTGCATTGCTAAGTAGGTATGCATTTTAGGAAAACCTGCTGCTTTTGCCTGCCTGCCTTTTTGGTGCTCGCCCGAAAGTATGCCAGTACTTTTGATTGCCTGCAATTTGAGGTGCAAATGCGAAGCGGAAATAAACGAAATGACAGCGTCGCCGGCACTGCAAGCGAAATGTAATGCATGCGGAAATGACTGGCGATAACAAACATGAAAAGATGTGTGAAAGCAAAATATAATAAACTATAAAAATAACTGCTCTTCTAAACTAAAATTGAAAATGGCATTGTTTCGCATAAATGGCTGGAGAAAAAAGGCTGTGAAAGAAAATTCAAGCAGGTCAGCGATACACACTGACATGAGCTGAGTAGTGGCCGTAATTTTCTGCTAGAATTTATTGCTTTCTTTTTGTACTTTTTTTGCCTCTGCGAACAATGGGCAGTAGACCAACTTACAAACCAGACGACCAACCTCACATTTGCCCAATAGGGTTAAGTTGTTGCGCAGCCGCCCGTCTTCTTTTCACTCAACTCCTTTCATGGCCAATCTGACCAAGTTTTTCATGTTTAATTTTTGCCTCAAGAGCTCATAAAAGCGCAACTTATGTACAAATGCATGCTTGTGAGGCACAACAAGCCAAAATGTTGCTGGCTAGGGTTCCAGCATACATACAGTGAGACGAAAGTGGCAAAGATTTTGAGAGCAAAAATATTAAAGTAAACAGCTTTTCAGTTGCGAAAGACTGAGAAAGAATTTCGGCATAGTAAGAGCTCTCACTACTAGCGCCTAAAACTATGCAGAATTTGACGTATTAACAGCTGCAACTTTCATTTATTATTTCATTTAACTATCCGCTTGTACTTCTCAAACGGCTTATGTAAATGAATAACTCTCTTGATGAAAATGAATAGCAAAAGATTTCATACACCTCCCTATTTAGCACCGTATTCACTTTCCATACTCTCAAATTTCAGCCCTTTCTCTATTGGAGGGCTAATGAAAGACGGAAATTTCGACAGAATCGATTGAAAAATGTTGTCTTTTAAGGTAAAATCATCACATGAGACTTATGTCAAAGGTCATGTGAGGCGACTTCATATTGGGTTTTCGCTATGGACGAACTGAATGGCAACATGAATAATAATTGAAGTCACTTTTAAGAGCTGAATTAATGCAGTATTATTAAAAGAATTTTCTAAAGAGCCTTGTTGCATTGTGTTCTGTTACGGCCCATTAGCAATCTCAAGCTTATCGTTGACAACTGTTAAAAAATTTAAAGAAGGGTAATCGGTCCGCAAAGGACTTTAGATAAGTTTTGGCCACTAACTCTTTAAAAAACCCTTTGGTAATTAGGTTTTATGTCATTATCTTCGGACGAAAGTCAAGAGTGTCAAATGAGTTCGATAGTTCGATGAACAAGTCAAAATTAAGCTTAGGCCGAGCGGACTGCCTTAAAAAACACTTTCGCAGGACAACCAGTCGTGAAAATGAGGCATTCCCAATCTTATTATTATGTGTCTTTAAACAAAGTAAACCTCTTGGCGGATACAGACCAAGTCTTCGAAAAAGTGGTTCAATCGAATTTCGAAGCATATTTTGTGAAATGCGCAGTTGTCGAACAGCTTTTGGCTCCTCGTCGTTATGCAGAGTGTCTATTTCATCTCGTGCGAGTGCCAATATTAGGCTAGACTTTGTTGTCTTTCTAGTCTACATATTTCGCAGCGAGTTCTGGCGATGTCGAAAGCCTCATATTTCCTTCCGTAAGTCCCGTAACGAAATGTTTACTACTTCCTCTTTTAGTGAGACTCTACTTCATCTCAAAACTGCTAACAGAGTTGCAGAAAATGTAGGAATCTGTGACAATCCTGAACGAGCTTCAAGTTACGAGTACATAGCCGTTATCGACCCAAAAAGCTTGAAATTGGCACGCAAAGCACTGAGCTTATAGCGTTTGAGGGCCAAAAGCTCAAAAGCTAAAACTCTTCGAACTTCCATCCCGAACAAACAACCAAAGTTCAAGCAAAAGATCGACAAATTCATAGAGCCAGAAGTTATTTCTGAGTGGCCTAGAAAATAAATTCCTTTATCTTGTACGAGAACACTGTCTCACTCTACTTCCAATCCATCTGTCCTACAAGCTGAAATCGATGAAGTTGTGGGGACACTTCAAGTGGCCATTGCTTACGCAAGAAGAGCCAGTAGAAACCAAGCAACCCACCACCACGCTGGCCAAAAGGCAGTGGCATTTAGCCGGAGGTAAAGGCTGGCGGTTGGTGGCTGGCTGGTGGCTCGCGACTCACGGCTTACGGTCATGTTATGGCAATTATGGCTGTCGTCGCTGGAAAATGTGTTCGTTGTGCGCCTTTTAGTGGTTGTGGTTGTTGTTGTCGCGGATGTCGCGGATGTGGTGCTTGTTGCTGAAGCTCTTATTTGCTTACGTGTTTTTTCCGTAATTTTTTTGTTTTTGTTTTTTTCAGCATCCCTCTGCTGAGTTTATTTATAGTTTTTTCTTTGTTATTATTTAATTTGCTGCTGTTGTTGTGGTCGTGTAAGCAGGAAGCTGTTGCCACAATAACACAACGGTCGCTTATTCGGCTTCCCATTGCAGGCTACTAGGGGGGAAGGAAGAAGTTTGAGTTCATACCAAAAAGCTTCGCTAAAGCATGAAAATCGCCGCGTTCGTAGAGGAAGCGGGCGACTGGCGCACTTTAGGCGCATCACTCATTCCTTGCAACTGCCTCCATCTCTTCTTCTGCTGGCCGACTGCCCTACCCTGCGCGCACGGGCTTATTGTGTCACATCCACACTCCTATTTTTCTTATTTTCTTTTCCTTCTTTTACGAGTAATTTCTTGCTGCTTGGCATGCTGATGATGAGTTGCTTTTGGCCTGTTTTGTGCACTAAATATTTACTCGCTTTTGAATTGCCTGCATGCCTGAGCGAATGTAGTAGCACAATTTGCATGTTTCAGCGTGTGACTCTATTTGCCCATGTGTGTGCGTGTGTGTGTGTGTGTGTGTGTTGTTTGTTCGCGACAACTGCATATGGCTCGGCTCCTTGTTTGTGTCACTTCATCCTGCCAACCAACCAAACAGCCAGCCATTGTGCCCAGCAGCCTAGGCACACTTACTCTTAATAGTGCTTCCTGTTTTTGTTTCTATTCTATTTAAGTATTTATCCATTTATTTGCTCATTTCTTCTACTTTTTTCGCACTCCTGACTGCTGTGCGACTCACTTTCGCATTTCTCATTTTCTTTATGTTTGAGCAAGCCATTTCTCATATTTGTTTTATTGTCTTGAGTGTTGGCATTATGTCGTTGGCAGGCAACCAAATGTTGGTCAAATGCTCTGCTACGCTGTGTTGTGCTGTTCTGTGAGAGTGCTAAAGTGCACACATATTTGATCTTTAAAAAGCTATCTTTCTTCCAAGACAGCAAAAAATGGAGTGCATAGTAGGATTGCAATTTTGTTAAGGTAAAAAAAAATAATAATTTACAAGCAGTTCATTTCATAAAAAATTTATTAATGAAGCCAACGTGTGAGCACATTGTTATTAGGCGCAGAATTTCAAGCCTGAACTACATCACGGCTAACTATTTGCTATGGACTTTCGAAGCTACTGGTTCCCTAAGCTCATTTGTATTTTGATTTGCATTTTCGTCATTCCCTTATCCTTGCTCAGTACTGAGCTTCTGCCTAGCCATGGCGCAGCTATCGTGCAGAACAACACCACTTAGTACTGTTTTCTAAAGGATACACTGCAGAACTGCTTAAGAGTTGAGAAGAATCTCAGCTTGCTGCCCACTGGCGGAAGTCAAAGGGAATGAGACAATCAAAGAAATTTAAAACTGCTGCCAGAAGGAACTCCGAAAGACCGCTAAACCTTGGTCGGGTATCATGAATCGTAGACAGATACACCTTGGAGAGCGATTATCTTCTCCGACCAAAATTTGGAGCACGTGTTCGTACTTGTTTTCTAAAACGTCTTTGTCGTTTTATTCGTACTCGCGTTTGGTGTTTGTTGTTGTTCCTGTTCACAACTGTCCTCCAGAGTGGTGTTCAGACGCTGGAGAGGCTGATCGATCTGCATTTAAGGAGCGAGATCCCCAGGGAGCGCCTTTCCGTGGATCAGTATGCTTATTGCAAGGGCAGCTCTGTCGAAACGGCCTT